AAAAAAACCCTCTTCAAAAAAACAAAAAAAAAAAAAAAAAAAAAAAAAAAAGAAAAAAGAAAAGAAAAGCTAGATGTGGTAACACATGCCTTTAATCCCAACACTCAGGAGGCTGAAGCCAACCTGGTCTACACTAAGTTCCAGGCCAGCCAGATCTGTATCATCAAAAATCAAGGAGTCTGGAAAGATAGCTAAGCTGCTTCAGAGCATTTTATTCCTGCTTGAGAGGACATAAATTCAGATCCAGGGTCCATCAATTCACAAATGACTCCTCCCTCCTGCTTCGGGGAATCCGATGTCCTCTTCTGGCCTCTACAGGCAACACACACAAGCTAAAGATTTTTAAAATATAAAAAATACATTTTAAGCCAGGGGGTTATGGCACATGCCTTTAATCCCAGAACTCGAGAGGCAGAGGCAGGCGGATCTCTGTGAGTTTGAGACCAGCCTGGTCTACAAGAGCTAGTTCCAGGACAGCCTCCAAAGCCACAGAGAGATCCTGTCTCGGGGGGGGGGGGAAAAAAAAAAAAAAAAAAAAACATTTTAAGACAAAGAGGAAAAACTTCCCAGAGGTACGTAGCCTCCAAAACAGTTCAGCAATTCTTGGAGAAGGGAGTACTCCTTAGCTCCCTTAGCTCCCTAGGGCTTTGGAGCTTGAATAGACCTTTCTTGCTCCCTCATTCTGCAAATGAGATGGAACCAAGAGAGACAGGTAGCAACCTACTCAAGAAAAAGATCATTGTAAGGTGATACAGTAGGCTATAGAATTGTGGGAAAACCTAGGTATGAGATATAGAATTTGCCATATAAGGGGTTTTTTTTTTTTTTTTGAGTTTCACTATGTGTCTCTGATTAGTCTAAAACTCACTTACATAGACCAGGCTGCCTTCAAATTCAGATGTGCTAGGATTAAAGGCATATGTCACCTCACCCGACTTGCCATATTTTTTTAACCTTACTGATATTCATGATAATGTATCGAGGAGAGGAAAAAAATTAAGACAGGATTGCATACTTGTAGGCAAAGCTGGCCTGGAATTCACTGTGTAGCCCAGGCTGACCTCATTCCCAAGGGCTGGGATGTCAGATGACCATGTTGACTGAGGGAAATCGTTTATTGTCGCTCTTTTTGTTTTTCGAGACAGGGTTTCTCTGTGTAGCTTTGGAGCCTGTCCTGGGACTCACTCTGGAGACCTGGAACTCCCAAAGATCCTCCTGCCTCTGCCTCCCGAGTGCTGGGATTAAAGGATTGCGCCACCAACGCCCGGCCTATTGTCGCTCTTGTATGCCCGCATGTGTGTTAGAGGGTAATCCTAAAGTTGATTTCTTGTCATGTTCTCTGCCTTGGGAGAACACAGAACCCTTGACATTGACATCCTACAAACCAGGTAGGTTGTAATTTTGAGACTTCTAGACATACATGAAATATACATACATGAGTATACAACTGGAGGGTATGAGTTTAGGGGAAAACTCTCAGTTTTCATCTATGGGTTAGGCATTTCTCTCACTCCCAACTTTGAAGGTCTACTAGTCCTGCTTCTTCCATTTCCGGTAGTAACCCTAAATGATGAGATCCTACTGCTCTTAGATGAAGCAGCAGCTGTTTGGCTCCGCACAGACCAAACAGACGCCGAGGGAGCGGGCGGTTGCCAAGCTAGTAAAGACAACCTAGGGACTGAAAGTGAGGGCTCTCTGCTAAGGTAATAGCTCCCCGCCCCGCAGAAGACGCTTCCCCTTGCCCTTTATGATGTGTGTTTACATGGGCGGAGGGATCCCTCTCCAGCTGACAGCCACACCGCGGCCGGCTCTTCTTTTTTTAAAGAGCCTAGCCACAGGCGATGATTGGCCGCGGCCCGAGCCGCATCAGCCTCCGGGGGCGGGGCCAGGTCCGCATTGTCTAGTGTGGGGCCGGCTGGACGCCTCAGAGGCCGGCCCTGGCTCACCCCGGCCTGGAGGTGCCTGCCGGCTCTCAGATTCCCCGAGGGCTGGGAGCGAGGGCTGGGCGGAGCCGCAGCGCCAGGTTCCCGGGGAGAAGCGGGGCTGCGGTCCCGGCGGCCCGAGGAGAACCGAGCCCGCTCCGAGTGCCACGTCTCCAGGAACCCCCCTCCTTACTCTTGGACAACACTCCGCCTCCGCCCCGGACTCGTCCCCCCGACACCCCATGAGTGCTGGAGAGCCTTTAGATACATCCTTAGGGCTCGGTGTCTTCAGCCGGCAGTCCTCAGGCTCCCCCAGCCGGTTGAGTCCCGC